CAAAACCTATGTAGGTTTGTGGCATCGAAGTTCGAGGAGATATTTGCAAAGCATGCCAAGACACATCCCGATGCTTTGACGAACGAGGAACTCAAACAACTTCTCAATGCAAACAAAGAACCTAATGATCGTAGAGGAGCGTAAGTATCGAACTGGATTAGTTTAGTTCGGTTAATTTGAGAAACCGAAAACGCGATATGAATCTGATTATGTGATTGAAAATGCAGGTTTGCAGAGTGGAAGTTATTGCATCATTTGTGCAAAGACAAGAACGGTTTGTTGCACAAAGATTCAGTGAGAGCTGTCTACGATGGTTCTATTTTCGAAAAACTCGAGAAACAAAGAGTTTCTAAGAAATATCCATAAACACTAATTTCAATTGAAAATCTTATATGCTTGTGAATATGTTTATTTATAAAAGAGACTTTTAGCTCAATGTTAATATAGTGAACTATGGCGTGAAGACTGTGATGTGTTTAACTTTCTAAAATTGAACTATGGCGTGAAGACTGTGATGTGTTTAATTTTCTAAAATTGATCAATTGTGTGCGTAGTGGTGAAATGTTGTGTGGTGTGAAAGAGGTAAACGAAGAAATTGTAAGAACTAAAAAGAGAAAGCAAAAAAGAAAAAGCAATGTGGTATAAGGCTATAAGCATCATTTTAAATGCTTTGAGGTTTGCCTACCTCAGGCTCAGACCCCTTTCTTCTACCAAAACAAGTGACTTTCTTTATAAACCTCAAATCTTCTTCTCCTTCACTTTTTGTTTGGGCTTTTGCTTGTGTGTGTGACTATGGCCCAATTTGTGGGGAAAATGGGATTAATGAGTGCATCAAAAGTTGGAGGATGGGAACGCATGTAATTAAAAGATGCTTGTTAAAATGTAACTGTATAAGAGCATGATCAATGAGGAGGTTAATAGGGTTGTTTAGTAATTTTTTTATTATAAATTGTTTTAAAGTTCTTAGCAACTCATATTTTGGGTTGCTAAAATCTCTTAAATTAGCAACTTTTATTGGAGTTGCTAAGTAATTTTTTTTATTTAATTATTTTTAATTTTTTAGTAACTCACTAAAAACTATGTAACATCCATCATTGTACATGCTCTAAGATTGAAGCCGTCAACTCAAGGATGCGAGACCGAATTTTTTTTTTTTGATAACCAAGACTGAACTTTTTAGTCACATCAAAATTTATGAGTTTGGATTCCAAACAAACTTGGTAAATTATTATAGCAAAATAGCGGATGCTAGACCGAATTTTTTTTAGGCCCTATATTAGTTTATCTATCCATAATTAAATTATTAATACTCTGTAAAAACAATTAAGTAAGTAGCATTTAAATCACATAAAATCTTTATTTTATCTTTTTTTTTATTTTACAGCTTTTTATTAGAAAAAAAATTAGAATTACAGCTCTTCTTCTTCTCCTCTTTTCTTACGTTCAATTTCTTCATTGTTTAGGGTTTAGGGTTTCTTCGTCGACTCAGTTTCTTCATTACCTATTTATCGGTCTCGATCTTTACTGGTTTCTCCACATGCATTTAACAGAGGGATAGTTAGCTATAAGACCTACGCAGTTAACTATATCTACACAATACCCAACAATAGTCAACTATACTTAACACATGGATAGTTAGCTATAAGACATATGTATTTCACTATATCTACACAATACCAAGCAATAGCCAACTATACTTAACACTTGGATAGTTAGCTATAAGGCCTACGTAGTTAACTACTATTTTTACATAAAGAAATGTGCTACCAACGCCGAAATGCAATCAAACGTGACTACACCGTTCAATATCACCTGCTACAAGGACACATGGAAAATCAAATGCAAAGGTAAAGTTTATTTTCTCCACATGCATTTAACACATGGATAGTTAGCTATAAGATCTACGTAGTCAATCTACACAATACCCAGCACTAGTCAATTATATTTAACACACAGATAGTTAGCTATAAGACCTACGTAGTTGACTATTGATATTCTCGGCCTCAATCACGATAAATTTTGATTGTCTCCCTTATAGCTCGCCAAAAAAAATCACTGTCAATAGTGCCGCTGCTTTAAACAAAGAAATATTCTAGGAATTTTTTTTCCTCTAATACTTTCTTTATTCGATTTTTTTTTTACATTCCTTACCAAATTAAATAAGGGCAATTTCATCTAAATATCTTACTTTTTTGTTACTCACCTAATTTCTATTATATCTATATTGCTCTCCTAATTATATCTTCTACAAGTAATATTAAGCTAATTTACCCTTTAAAAAAACTGAAAACGATCAAAGTTTTTTCTATATTTGTTATAATTTAAAAAAAATGGGAAATAAAAAATACTTGTTATTTTTCAATTTAATAATTCCGTTAAAAATATTGTGAATGAAATGTAACCATTATATATTTTTGAACTGAATGTAAAATTAATTCAAACCCAAAAACTATTTTTTACGCTTTGAAATGTTTTTAAGAAAAACTAAAATCAAAAATCAGAAAACATATGGTTAGGAGGGAATTCTTGTTTCGAATCAATATTGTAAGCTGCTTTCAAAACCTTCGATGCTTTGGATTGAGGTGAGACGGTTCCTGATGAGTTTGTCTATGTGTTGTGCAAGCCGTCATGGTGAAATTGGATCCTCTCCATGACGACGAGCATTTCTTTCTCTCCAAATTTCATATATTGCCGCTTGGAACACGTACTTTGTCACAAAATTTTGAATACAAGATTGTGTCGTGTCCGATACGAGGTATGTAACCATTATAATCAAGTTTCAAAAACATATAACCACTAAATCACATTTTAAAAAATGTCAAAGCGTACTACATATTTTTCATCACCTGTGGTTGTAAATTATATGTTAAAATGTTTATTATGGATTTGCGGATAGCTAGATGTCTAAATCTATCATTTCTGTTGTATGATCTTGTGATTTTGTTTTGAAGACTAGTATAATAATTAACTAAATTTTGAAGAAAAAAGTTAAAAAGGTTTTGGATTTGAATATGGAAGTAATTAATTAAGGGAATTTTTTGGGTAATTTGTAGAAGCAACGACATATACCAAGTGTGAATGTGGAGATGAAGTTGTAGCGTTCTCATCATCATGCCTTTGAACAAAGACTAGAGATAAAGCATAAGGAATCTGTTGCACCCAAGCTTTACGCAACAAACTTTCTGTTGTTTCACTCTTCCGATGCGTATGAATATTGATACCGTTTCTTTAAGTTCTAACCATTCTTAAAAACGTTTCTCCAATTATTCTAGTTTTTTTCTCTTTCAAATCAATCCTATCAAGTGTATACAACTTTTTTTTACAAAATTCTTGTTTTCCTTTCGTTTTTATAAAATACCAACTGTTAAGCAAGACCAGTTTGTTCACATGAAAACCATTCACGTTTTATCCACTTTTATCAATCGACTCGCTTTTTCAAACAACTATTAGCACATTCTAATTAACAACAAACTTATTTGATACCAATAATATTTATTGCTAAACTAGTATATGATTACCTTATCATGTATACTTTTATATTATGAATAAAATACGAAATACAAGAGTCACTAACAAGTAGGGTTTAAGTTTACGTAGCTGTAGCATTTACTCGTATTGTGTATATTACAAAAACGCAGCGCTGAGTCATCCATATTGGTCAAGAACTCAATAATTTAAAGTTTTAAAACTTTATAAAGAGACAGCGAAAGCGACTACAAACAATAATATTACCCTACCAAAACACACCTGTGTGTACCTTAATAATTTCTCTTTCGAAAAGCACTTTTCTAATCCACCATAATTGCATTATTATCGATCTCCTTTGCCGATAAGTAATGTACATCACGAAAGTTTTTTTATAATCTACGCTCATTAGCCCCAATTTATATTTGGATTAAATATAAACATTTTTTGTTAACTTCTACTTTTTTCCACAACTCTTTGAGAGATGGTGAAGTCGAAATTTTATGAACAAAAATCTAGTAAAAACTGGTAATAATTGAATAAACAAACTTTTTATTTCAGAATAATTATTTTTTCTAAAATTAGCTAAGATAACTTCTTTAAATTTTTATTGTTTAGATAACCTACTTTTAACTTAAACTTTTCATAATACTAAATTTAATTTTAACTAGTAAATATTTTTAAGAAAAAATTATTAACACATTAGTTAGTTAGCATTTTTTAATTCAAAATCCTAATTAAACTTAATAGACAAATGTTTTAATTTCCTGCAAGATAACAATATTTTACCAGAAAATCAAAAAAAAATCATGCATGATAAAGGACTAAAACGCAGATTAGTAGATTAGGAGACTGATATCTAAGTCTGCCATCAATTTTTGAAGGCTTTTTGAACGTCTAGAAAAAACGCAGACTTTTTCAATACATTAGCAAACTAATATTTAAATCTACTAACAAGTTTGGAAGACCTTTAACAAAAAAAAAAAACAAGTTTGGAAGACTTTATGAATATCTGCAAAAAAAAACTCAGATTATTGCCAATACATAGGCAGACTAGCAAATTAATACATAAACCTGCCAATAAATTTGGAATACTTTATGAAAGTTTGCAAAACAACTTTAACAAAAAAAAAGTTTGTAAAAAAAAAAATGTGCACTATGTGACTATGTCGTAGACTTGCTAAGATATTGGCCAATGCATACTAGCAAAATGGTATTATAGATTTTTGCAATTACTCCTTCATTTTTTACTTAAGGTTTACTTAGAAGAATGTAGTTTAACTTTAATGTCATGTTTTAGAAAAGAAATCTTTGTCAATTAAATGATAAA